TCAATATGTTTAAAAGAGAAATAAATGTAATTGATATGTGAAGGATATAGAAATAACGAACAGTATTAAATCTCGACGTCCATTAAACAATATACAAAAAAAGAGCAGAGCAAACTAGGACCTCCGAAACATAAGAGGTGGGATCAGGTGCCATGGAGGAGTGAGCCTCCCCTGCCGACCGGTCACACTCGCCGTGTGCTTGTTGTCATAATCAGGAAATAACGGAAAAAATCCGTCGTTAAATTAGTGTATAAATAATGGACTAACAATTGGTATGAAAAACATCAGTCAGCATTTCATTCAATGATGAATTTTATTTGCTGACAAGGTCATTGTATCGACCATAGAATTTACAAAATGATAACTTTAATCGAGACTGTTGATATTCTTGTTTCATCAACTTGCTTGTCAATAATTTACCTCGTTTTATAAATTGTTCATACGTAGAGCATGTTCTTGCATGTGAAATCAACTGAGATATATATACTCCGTATGCAGGTGATGTAGGTACATTGATGCATAATTATGGGAAGTTGACGATAGAAAAGTTAAATTCATCACGTTTATCATATAGCTTGGTTTTTGGATTACCATTAGTATCTTTTTCAAGTAAAAATTGCTTGTCGTACATGTAAAAGGCGACTAAATGGGGCGGTCCTTTCGATGAGACCGTATAAACGGAGGCCCCGTGTCACAGCAGGTGTGGCGCGATAAAGATCTCTCCCTGCTCAAAGGCCCTGAGTGCCATGCATAGGCCTAAATTTGTAGCCCTTCACCGGTGACGTCTCCATATCAGTGAAATATTCTGGAGAGGGACGTTAAACAGTATACAATCAATCAATCAATCAATCTCCTCCCCCAAATGAAAAACCGTTGCTACAGGCTTACAGCAAGCTGTATTTGGAGTATTGTATATCAATTTATTTTGCAAGCCTTGATACAAAAAATCTAAAACATGTGAAGACCTGTTCTTTTAAAAACCAAGAACTAGCCTTTAGTTTTTTTTCATTCATGTTGTTGAGATATCTATATATTGCAAGTTCCTCCGAAAAATCCTTTAAATGCGTGTGCCATGCCATAGGATAAGTCTTCAATTTGTTATAAAAGTATGTGTATAAGATAGACATTTGGATCCTGCAGTCAACTCTCAATAGCAACATCTGGGGTCTTCCCGTCAGACGTCTAAAGCTAGTTGAAAACGCCCAGGAACTGTGATTGGTGTAGTAGTGTCAGCAGAGCATTACCAATTTGAACCCTTTAAGATTCTCACGCATGCGTTGCCTGGCTTAAGCATAAGGAATCTGGTTAAACCTCGCTTATATATTTTCTGCGTTGTTTTTGATCTAGATAAAAATGCATAGGAAAAATTTAAACTTTACTAATCTATAGTTAATGATTTATGTGTCTTCTTTTCATTTTAGAATGTTTGCGTCTCTGTACAGGGTCCATTTCAAAATGACTATATTTCCTTTTGTTTATTTAGAGTACGTTATGTTCTGGCTGAAATCAATTCATACGTACTGTGCTGAGGATACATCTATTATTCTGGTAGCTACGCACAGTGAAAATGCTACACAAAAGGTATTTACGTACGCAAAATGCATGAGTGGAAGTGTCTTTTATTTGTCAGTTTTATTTAAAATTTGCCAAAATCAATATTTAAATTATATCTATTTATATTCAGTTTTCTGAAAATCGTTCACGGTAGCTAAATCGGTAGAGCGCTCGCTCCGTTTCGGCAGGTCGTGAGCTCGTTTGTCGTCCGCGGCCGACCTAGTAGATAAAATGGGTATCAACTGTTCCTTCGCCATGCACTCTGCAATTAGAAGTGAAAGTTGCGGGTCCTTTGGATGAAACCTTCGACCGATGCCCCGTGTCAGCGGCATGCGTTGGCACGTTAAATATCCCTCACTGCTCTATGGCCCTGAGTGCCTAGTAAAGGTAAGAATTTGAAGCCCTTCGCTGGTATATGGTGACGTTTTCATATGAGTGAAAAATTCTCGAAAGGGACGTTAAATAATATACAATCAATCAATTTTCTAAGTTCTTTAAGGAATTTCCACACTCACAATTTTATGGGTTCAAAGTACAAAAACTGCATATATTTTCATTCAATATACTTAAAACTTTCCATTTATTGCAAAAAATGTATAGGTCACCATATTATTTAAGATGCAAAACATAAATAAACAGAACTGTATGTCAACATCAAAAAATTGTACATTTTTGGTTAAAAGTATTGAGAGAAATATGTAAAAACTGGTTAATATGCATAATTCTGATGCTGAGTGATCCTAAATACTTCCTACCTAAAAGATACTCTTGAATTGTGAATTTCAGGTAAACTATTTTACAGAAAAGCAAATGCCTGAATGAAGAGACCTTAGAAGGAGTTATTGCCCTTGTAAACATTATTTAAAGATTAAATAATTGATTAAATATAGAAAATATGCATTTTTTGAATTCTTTAACTAAACAATATTTATCATTACACCTATTGTAAAGCATTCTTCCAAGAGATATTTCTCTATAAGGTACAAATTTAAACTAATTACAGTTTTTGCAAAACCTATGACATCATAGGAGTGTGGAATTACCTTAAATAAAATTATTTAAAACTTAAAGAACAAGAGGCCCATGGGTCACATCACTCACATGAGCGCTATGGCTGGGAAAAAATAAATTGGTTTATTATTGAATAGTTTATATCCAAATATAGTCCCATAAACAATCATTGCTTTGCTATTCTTGATAAAATGATTTTAAAAGAATTTTTCCTATACATGTCAATGTAAAACTTTGATTGGCTATTGTGGCCCCGCCCTAACCCTGGAGTCATGATATGAACAAAGTTGAATCTACTCTACGTAAGGATGCTTCCATATAAATATCATCAATTATGGCTTTGTTATTCTTGAAAAGAAGATTTTCAAAGAATTTTCATATATTCCTAGCGGTTCCTGAGAAGAAGTCGAAAATGTGAAAAGTTTACAACGACGATGATGACGTCAACGACGACAGACAACGGACAAACTGTGATCAGAAAAAAAAAATAATTTAATTTATGCTTCATTAGTCACAGGAGGGGATTAAATCAAAGACTTAGATTGATGATGTGAAAACAATATATCAATCATTACCAGTGAAATTGAAAAGTAATTTTTTAAAGACATGTATGGAGTTGTAAGGAAAGCGTTGGCTTAAAAGCAAATATTTGTAATTGTATATCCATCCTATGACAAATTTCTTCATTCAGATATTCTGGTCTATTTTTATCCTTGTTTTCTTTGAATAATTTTATGCAAAAAAGTAAGCGCATTCAACACTAACCCTAGATTATTTGAACGACAATGCTACCGATGGACGTTTACGAGAGGCGCTGACTTTAGCAGTTGAATAATTACCCTCACGCAAGGACTGTTTACAAAAGCTCTTTAACGATGTAATTTATGCTCAATATTTAATTCAACGGAAAAAAACCCAGACTCTTTCAAAGCACAGATATATTGTTCTTGTTTAAAATGACAACCATCGAACCTTCATATTCAGGCTTTCACATACAAGTGCCTTTAACTCCGTTGCCATGACCACTGGAAAGGTTTTCTTTTCCATTATCAGTTCCGTACCTCCGTTAATGTAAATGTTTAAACGTCCAGGTAAACAGACAACTATAAAAGTAAGTGCTTCTTGTAAAAGTCCGATAATAAAATCATGCTGTATATAACACAATAGAAGTACCGAAAAGAATAATACAATTACAGTTTCTATACAAATTAAGCCCTATATTTTTTTCTAAAACATGAAAGTGATGTAAGAAATTAAAAGTTATTCTTTCTGAATCATAGGAGTTCTCGGCAGTAAGAATGCACAAATGGTTTTTTTCGTAAATGACCTTCTTTATGCTAATTGTGACGTCATTAACTTATGCATTTTCCCGTATTTCTTATAAAGTTGCAGAAGACATCAATTTTCACTGGAATTTTCTTTCAGAAAGCACACTCTGCCACCGTCCCCCGGAAATATTTTGAGGTATGTGATTTTTCATAGCTGTTTGTACAATATATCCAAAAATTAAAGCGGGCGACGGTGGGAGACACTATTTTCTAAAGGAAAATTAGCAGAAAAACGAGTCATTTTTTAGCATTTCTGCATTTAACTTAAAAATGTACCAAATTAATGACGTCATATTCAAAGAAAGGCTCTTCATCATGCCAAATTCTTTAATGATTTGTCATTTTCATCTACTCAACTATCATTAAAACCAATTTCATAACTTTTTAAGAACAATTAATTTTTAGGGAACAATAAAGCTCAAACTGTACCGTCTTCTTACTAGGGGAGCTGTCTCAACATACAACAGTAAAATTCGGTTATAGCAAAGTTCTTGGGACCTGTGGATTTAGTTTGCTATATCTGTAATTCATAATATCCGGATTAAAAAAAGTCGTATATTATATAAAGCAAATTCACAGTATGCACGTTTTCCTTCAAAAATTTCTACCAAATATACTAGGGAAGCAATTATTACAAAACATACTTGAAATAAGTAACGATTTTTTTATAAAATGAATTTTATATACAAATACAAAGTGAAAATAAAATGTTCTAAATATAAAATCCTAGAGAATTCGTTATAAAAGATGTAAATAACATGACATTTGTAGCACAAACAGAGTCAAGATGGCGTTGAGAACTAGTTTATTACAACACGTGCAGCATCATCATGAATAACAAGGAAGATAACTCTATTATTATATTTACATATGACATCAGTATAAGAGTTACTGTTCTTAGATACAGATACTGTCACATCTCCCCTTTTAAGTTAACTGCAAAATGTTTGTTTATATTACATTTGAAATAAATTTGCATTTTATCATTATAATAAAACAGCTCTCAATATTCTTACTTTTGTGTTTAACTACAACTAACAAAACTAAACTACAAAATGAACAATAAATCTACACATCAGATTCAGAAATTTACTTTAACTGTTTGAATTAACACTCCGTCACCAGCCTGCGAGGTGCTTTGATGACCCGACCACTCGATGTGGTAACACTCGTTGTTTCATCTCCAGAATTGACAGACGGACCATTCATACGGTTAGAATTATCACAAAACGAATCACAGTGACCATTAACATACTCTTCGGTATCTACTGGTTGTTCTGTACTCAGTTCTTTCGTTTTGATAAGGTCTCGGCGGTTCCTCCTCACGGTGGTATTCCCTTGTTGTACGAAATACGATCTCGGTGTTTCTGCAGCTCTAACGATTCTTCCTGGTGTTTTGATAGACTGTCCTGGAATCCTAACACGTACTACATCTCCGTTGTCAAGTGGTTTAAGAGGTTTTGAGTTGCGGTCGTAAAGAGACTTTTGTGCATCTTTAATGACCTGGAGTTCCTCGCGAACAAGTTCTGAGTTAAATCCCATCAGTCGCAATTTGGATTTGACGGTTGGTACTAGCGTCCTTGTGGTTCGTCCAAATAGAAGCTGTGCTGGTGAAAGTTTCACTCCTGGTATTTCTGAATTCCTCAACTCCATAAGCGCAATATACGGATCCTTGTGGTCATCCTGTGCCTTCCTAAACAGGTTTTTGATGGTCTGTACAGCTCTTTCAGCCATACCATTGCTCTGTGGATATCTCGGCGAAGATGTAATATGACGGAAGTCGTATTCCTTCGAAAAGGTTTTGAATTCATGGTTTGCGAATTCCGGTCCATTGTCACTAATGAACTCTTCAGGGATTCCTAGTCGAGCAAAGTGTTGCTTCAGAATGTTGATAACGGTGGCGGCTTTCCCATCTTGTAAGCGGTTGGCTTCTATGAACTTTGAGAAGTAGTCAACGGTAACAAGTATCTTGTGTTCCCAAAAAACATAACGTCTGCTGCAACTTTCTGCCAAGGACAATTTGGGATCTCATGTGGTATCATTGGCTCCTTTTGCTGCGCATTTCTGTAGCGGTTGCAAATGTTGCACTGTTCTATCATGTCCTTCAACTGCATGATTATTCCTGGCCAAAACAATGTTGATTTAGCTCGCTGTATACATTTCTCTTGTCCCAGGTGACTGCTGTGTAGAATTTTCAACATCTGGGGTCTAAGTTGCTCTGGTGTAATGATACGATCTCCTTTCAACAATAAGCCATCAACAATGCTTATCTCATCTCTAAAGTTCCAGTATGGAGTAAGTTCACTGTCTAAATCCTTCCGGATCGTTGGCCATCCCTGTAGAACTGTGTCCTTCAGTTTCATGAGAACAGGGTCTTTTTTGGTTTCACTCTGAAATAACATCACCTTTTCCTGGCTAACAGGAATAGTCTCTATCACATGAACTTCGTACTGTTCCTCGTGCTTCTCAGCTGGATCTGATCCTGTCGATCTTGACAATGTATCCGCAATGTAGAGTTCCTTGCCAGCCTTGTATTTCACCACTAAGTCATGTTGCTGAACTTTCAACATCATACGTTGAAGTCGTGGAGGTGCACTCGACAATGGTTTTTTAAACAGGCTCTCTAGTGGTTTGTGGTCTGTTTCCACTAAAACTGCTTTACCATACACATACTCGTTGAATTTCTGTAGTCCATACACGATTCCAAGCATCTCTTTTTCGATTTGTGCATAGTTTCTCTCCGCTGTATTCAGGGCTCTCGATGCATAAGCTACAGATTGCTCCTTCTGCATGATGCACGCACCAAGTCCATATGACGAGGCATCGACGGAAAGTTTGACATCCTCATTAACGTCGAAATATTTCAATGTCGGCGTTGACGTTATTGCTCCCTTTAGATCATTAAAGGCTTTTTCTTGTTCGTCACTCCAGTGCCATGCGACGTCGGTTTCTAGCAACTGTCTGAGTGATTGATTCCTGGTTGACAAGTTTGGAATAAACTTTCCTATGTAATTGATCATCCCCATGAATCGCTGTAGTTCCTTCTTGTTTTCCGGTGCTGGAATTGCTAGAATTGCTTTGATTTTTTCACCACTGGGCTTCACACCATTTGAACTGAAAACATGTCCTACATACTCAACTTCTGATTTGTTTACTTTGCACTTGTCTTTGTTGAAACGTAATCCAACATCCTCAGCTCTCTTCAGTATTTGACTTAGCTTTTCTAATTGTTCCTGTTCACTATCTGCCCATATCAAAATGTCATCTGCAATCACTTCACAAGGCTGATTTTCAAATACATGAGACATGGCCCTCTGAAACACTTCCGGCGCTGACGATATTCCAAACGGAAGTCTCTCGAACTTAAATCTTCCAAATGGCGTATTGAATGTTGTAAGCCACGAACTCTCCTCGGTCAGCTGTATTTGATAGAATCCTGAAGCGGCATCCAGAGTTGTGAAATGCTTCGCATGCTTAAGGTTAGCAGCCACTTCTTCGACAGTCTTAAGTGGATAGTGTTCCCTTAAAATAGCCTTATTCAGTTCTCGCAGATCCAAACAAATCCTGACTTTTCCATTTGGTTTCTTGACGACTACAATAGGGCTGACCCACTGCGTTGGGGTTTCCACTTTCGAGATTATCTTCATAGATTCCATCCTCTGTAGTTCTTCTAAAACTTTGTCCTTCAAAGTATGTGGTATTCTCCGAGGTGGTGCAACTACTGGTGGTATGCTGGAATCAACCTTGATGTCATATTTTCCTGGAAGACATCCAATTCCATGAAATAGATGATCATATTCTTTCAACAGTCTTTCTGCACTTTTGGTACTTTGATTCTTCTTCACTGTATAGACACGATTCACTAAGTTCAAGTCAATGCTGGACTTGAGTCCAAGAACAGGTTGGACGTCATCATCAACAATCTGTATTTCTAGAAGAAAATACTGGTCCTTGTGTCTCACTGACGTGCGTACTTTTCCACAGGCTTTAACGGCATGTCCAGAGTAGGAAACTAATTTACTGTTGCTACGCATTAACTGTTTAGTGTCAATGTTGGCATACTTGCACGCTTTTAAACTCATGACGTTGCACTGGGCTCCAGTGTCAATTTTAAAGTTAATAGGTTTTGCATCATTGACTAGTAGCTTCATTGTCCAATCATCATCCTTGTGTGTGTCAATAGAATGCATGAAAAAGTCATCATCTGAGTCTTCACGGCTCTCTTCAATATGATGAACTTTTGCTTTTCTTGGGTTCTGTGTTTCACAGGATGTGTCCGCATCTTAGACTTGCACATGACTGCGAAATGGTTCTTCTGATTACACTTATTACATGATTTTCCATAAGCTGGACAATGATCTGGCCCCTTAGGATGATCTAATCCACAGTATTTACACTGACCTTTGTGTTGGGGTTGCGCATCCTTCTGTTTGTACCTCTGCTTCTTGTCTCTCACTGCGTGAACGTTTTTCTCGTCTCCCATTTCTCGGAGCTGCGATTCCGACACTTCCGCTGCCCTACAAATGTCTATGGCACTCTGCAGTGTGAGTTCTCGTTCTCGTAACAATCTGGCACGCACAGTATCACTTCGAATTCCACAAACGATTCGATCTCTTATTAAAGAATCTCTCAGTTCACCAAATTCACATACACTTGCCTTTTGTTTGAGCTCAGTCACAAATGCGTCGACCGGTTCTCCCTCCTTCTGAGATCTTGTGTTAAAACTGTGCCTCTCGTAGGTTACATTTTTCCTAGGATTGCAATATTCCTTAAATTTCTTTTTGATATCTGCTACCTTAGTCTTATCGTCGTTTTCCGTCCACGTGAACGTGTTGTAGACATCAATGGCGTCCGGTCCTAATACGTGGAGTAGGGTCATCCCCTGGACTTTGTCTCCTTTGCTTGCGACACCGCTCGCTACAGCGTAAACATCGTACTGCTGTTCGAATCTTCCCCAGTTCTCCGCTAAGTTTTCAGTAAGGTTAAGTCCGGGTGGCGGCGGTAACCGATCCATTTTTCAGATTTTTTTTCTTCTGACACCATGTAGCACAAACAGAGTCAAGATGGCGTTGAGAACTAGTTTATTACAACACGTGCAGCATCATCATGAATAACAAGGAAGATAACTCTATTATTACATTTACATATGACATCAGTATAAGAGTTACTGTTCTTAGATACAGATACTGTCACAACATTCACTGCCTTAAGGATTCAAAATCAGTTCGTTATATCCGTAATTTCATAAAACCAGAGTTCGTTATATCCGTAAAATTTTACAAACAATTGTTTAGAATTGTGCCGGGGACACCGAAAAACGTAGTAAGGGTTATATTCGTGAAATTGCTATATCTGCGTTCGTTCTAAACGAGTTTTAATGTTGTGTCTTTGTTTAAAACATATATTTATATTTTGTATTGAAAATAAATGTTTTGTTTCTGTAGGATAAAAGCGCATTTTATGGACGGCTATTGGATTTGATACCAACAGATTCAAATCTTAAGAAACATTTAAATCATGAAAGGTGTTTCTTTGTCGGTTTTCCTCGTGAAAAAGGTGGAGAACTTGAATCGTTATCTGAATTAGAAAAATGCATTGCTTCTATTGCCAAAAATAGAAAATGGAAAGAAAAAATTCCAAAAGAATGGTCATTAATTGAACTGGCTTTAATTACAAATCGAGATGTGGAAAAAATTGTTTTAACCGGAAATCTCACAGAGAATTACTTGACAGCTGAGGAAGCAGAGAATGCTTTAAGTTTCTTCCATGATATTGGATTGATTCTTCATTTTAAGGAGGATAATCTTTCAGATACAATAATTGCTGACGTGCAATGGTTTGTTGATAAATTCAAATATATAATATCAGACAAGAACCATGTCCGAGACTTAGCAGAAACTGGTAGAGATTGGCAAAACTTCAACCAGACTGGATACCTTAAGGACAGTTTTTTGGATCGAATTTGGGAAAGTTTGAATACGCTGCCTGAGGAAAAACAGATAATTTTGCAATACATGCAAAGACTAGGATTACTCGCGATGGGAAGAGTGAAACACTACGTCCCATGTATGAACAAAAGAAACTTTGACAACACGAAAGAAGAGTTCTTACGGGGAATGGAAACAAAATCTTCAGTTTTGGTATTTCATTTCCAATTTTTACCGTTCTTCTTCTACTGTCGATTGATAGTTGCCTGTATTGTGCAAACAGAGTGGAAAGTGATGGAAGATGAGGGCATCCCGTGCTTGTATAAAAACATAGCACTTTTTAGTTACAAAGACTACATAATTGCATTGGCTGTAACACCAACTGCAATTCAAGTCCAGATTTTTAGAGCACAAAACTCACCTATTGATGCTCGTATCCAGATACAAATTAGAAAGACTCTTGAGAAGAGACTTCGATACTTAACAAGCACATTTCACAAAAAAGTTGCATACAGGGTTGCATTCCAGTGTTCAAATGAAAATGTGCTTTGCGATAATGAAGGGTGCTACGTATATGAAAAAGAAATATCTAAGAAAGGTCAAATATTATGTCCAAGGCATGGATTTACAGGAATTCATATAATAAACGAAGATGCTTTGGTAAAATTCTGGAAAAAGGTGAGTTTCTGAATCTAATGAAACGTTATCAGATCATTTATCTTCTACATAGTTTATACATCTCAAGCTATTTAAGGAATGTTCTTTTTTAGCGATCATGTTTTGGCATTGATGTTTAATTACAATTGAAATTTGATTTCCTTACATTTGTCAAGTGGAAGATTCATTTTCATTATAGGGAACGCCACCTCTTTCATGTACTAAATCAGGGAAAGGTAAACACTCATTTAATTTTTCTCGTATATACATATCTCGTACATACAGCTTATAAAATATTATCATATTCATGCAATACTTAAATGTAACCCGTTTAAATGGATTTGTTATGACGACAGTTCCAATGACAAACAAGGACAAGCTTCGAAAGCTTGTGACGTTAGGAAGGGATGCCATGCAGGTGTACTTTGATTCCATATTTCCATCAGATGATTTACAAATATGTCTTAAGGATAACAAGGATTTCCTTTGTAATGGTCCTTTTCGATTAACGGCTACTGAAGTTGGCGTTGTTTATCAAGGTATGTTTTTGACTGAGATATACTTTTTTAGAAGACTTATCGTAAAATAAATGACAAAAGTATCATCAATTTTTGAAACAATCAAAACTCCTCTTCCTGTTACACACAGCCTCCGGGTCAGCCGTAGAGTCCTCTTCCTTTGATGTCCCAATCATGTACAAATTATTAAGAAATTTCGGAAGCAACGTACCTCCGCCCACTAAAGGCTGGGGAAAAGAGCCAATTATCGGACAGAAAACTCAGGGTGACGACATTGAGAGAATCCGCAAGTACAGGAATCAGTTTTATCATAATCATTTCAATGAACAAAACATGGATGACGACGATTTTGTGTTATATAGTAAAGAACTGACACAGGTAAGAGCCAAGGCTATTTATATTTATAAAATTGGGTAATTTATTTTCTATCTTTGAAATAATACTTTTGATTTAATAACTTTAACACAGGATTTTCATGTATACTGCATACATATACTCTTTTATTTATTCTGTAATAATATTTTTTTCATTCATGTTTGCTCCATCCAAATTTATCAATATCTTTAAAATGCTGATTTAGTTCTCATCTGGAATTATACCTTTTGTTAAAATAAATTTGGAATAAAACAATATTTTCAATTACTGAATTACTGAATTACTAATTTTACTGAACATTCTGCTTAAATATTTCAACTTATCTCATAAAGAGACAAACGCAAGGAGGAACTAATTTTAATGCGACACGCTATTTTATTTTCAGGCAATACTGAGACTTACAAAAGGCTCTTTTAAAAGTAGAATTTACACCATTGGTCAATAGATTACGTACAGTGGTTAGATTTTTTAACATTGAAAGGTTAACTCTCCTTTATCTAAGATGAAAAATCTAAGATATGCCTTTCCTAAATTACCCGAAGTTTTGCATTATGCTCTGTTATACGCATGTGAGTTAAGGCTAAACATAGATGTTGTTTCAATGCACATGAGCTAATAAACTTGCATAAATTGTATATTTTTTGTAGAGAGAAAGTGATTGTAAATTGATGTTCTTATACCTACTTAATACCCACAGTGTATAAATTTAAGTGTGTACATTCTTTCCAATTCAAAGTTATAAAACACATCAACAAATTAGCGTCGGCAAAAGGGCATCTCCTATTCAAAATAAATAATGTATAATATTAAGAAGAACATTCTTTATTCTAGTAAACATCTTCCCCAAGTCCTATGCACTTTCTTGATTGATAGAAATATCAGGAAACTTACTCTATACTGTGAATTTTTTATCCTTTTATACTTAAAACTGTATGAATAGTAACAGAACAATGGCAGTCTCGTCATTTGTGCAGAAATATCCTTAATCCTTGGAGTATCCTGCGTCTTTTTATACCTTTTGTCTGTAAGACAAAGTCCATTACGCCCCTTTGTCGAACCAATTTTGTTGATGTTTCTGATAAACCTGTGTAGTAAAGGTCGATGACATGATAATATGACGTCATAATGTGTTCTGACTATCGTTGGTACCAAGAATTTTTTAGAAATCAAGAATAAATATTTTCTGTGTAGTACGTAGTAAAATTATGGGTTTTAGATATTTATCTTGCATAGAAACCTCCATACGTAGCCTTCACCCTCCTGTGCTATGATTTTTTTAATTTAAAAAAGCCTTTGTTTAAAACAAATTACCCCATATTTATATATTAAGAGATATGATACAGTGTCGATTCGAAGGCAAAGAATCAACAATACAGAAAGAAAAAAAAGACTTTGAGAGACTATTAGCAGATACTACGAGACTAACCTCTTATGCTATCTTTATTGCTCTTATTTGGTTTCGCATTTAATTTGATTTTATTTTTTTTATGATAAAATGTTGATAATTTCTTTGATGTGATTGTCAAGAATGAAAATGAATAAGTATTTGTTATTTATTAACATATTAATGATGAAAATAAATTACGATTGATATTCAAGATTTCTCCCCTTGAATATCTATCTGAATTGCATACAGTATCAATCAATATTACTAACAAAAAAAATGGAATACAATTAAATGTTGGTTTTACTTTTGAGAGTGAGTAGCCTATTGGGACATGATTAATTAAAATGGCATAGAAAAATGGTTTGCATGATTTTTAAAAACCAAAAAATAGCATTTGCATGTATGAGTCTATTTAGTTTTGATTTAACCATAATCTAAGAATTTGATTTGCATTTACAAAACTTCATTCTTCAACATGAGCTGCCATACGGGCGTTTAAAAACAAATCTTGCTACTCCACTAGTTTAACATTTACTGAAGTTAATAACCCCTATAACTCACAATTGCTGAATTCTATTCAAACAAAACTATGATAACTGAAGTAAAAAAAAAATCACAATGGCTCTTTCAAATTACAATGAGTGAAAAATTCTCAAGAGGGACGTTAAACAGTATACAATCAATCAATCAAATGACATTTCAATACATGTATTTTTACTTATATAGAAATTAAACGAGATGTTAGACTTGTGATATGGTAACAAAGAAAAGGGCTTCCAACAGGCACGTAATGTATCTCAAATTACATGGGTCTTTGCGATTTATAAAGCGTAAACTGCCCCAATAATTATTGAATTCTACTCAAGCAAAAATATTTTAACGTAAGTAAAAAAAAACACAATGTCTCTTTGAAATGACATTTCAGTAATTTTGTTAAACTAAAAACCAACCGACATGTAAGACTTGAGACAGGGTTACAAAAAATGGACTTCTATCAGGCACGTACTGTATCTCAAATCACATGGGTCTTTAATTAAGTCTTAAATAGTTTGTCACTTTTTGGTAAATGTGGCATCATATACTCTCAGGTTGTGCAGGCATAAGTCTGATTATTTTAGTCGTGATTATCAAAAGCTAGTTTTATCACCAT